TGCTTTCAGCACACTGAAATCTTTGGCAATGACTGAGCATGAATTTGACTGAGCCTGGTGTTCGCAGGTCTTGCTTTAGCTCAAAATGAACCAGAGTCTGTAATTTTAAACAGATATGGTAAAAAATGTCTGATAATGATGAAAAAAGTCCAGCATTCTTGCAAAGTGTCATATGTAAGCAGACACTAATGAAAAAACAAAAAAAAGGAATGACCCAAGGTTCAACAATGGATGAGTCTTTATTTAAAGCATACTTTTACTCGTTGTCACGCTGGACGGAGGCCAGCAACTTGAACAGAACCCAAGTGCAGACAGAGAGCGGAGGCAAGAGAAATTTATTGGTGAATATATAATAAAGGTGAAAACACAAGAACGTGGCAAACTGCGGTGTGGAAACGTAGCCGTGGAACTATTAGCGTGGCATGAACGTGAGGACAACTGGATCTAGGCAGGTGAGTATTGGTCACACTGGGGAGAGAGGAGAGCGGAGTTAGAGCTGGGTTGAAGTGGATTACCAGAGAGGGTAAGTATGAGTCTTTTCAGCTTACTTGCAGGAGGTGGAGGTGTGCTATCGAGGGGGAGGTGAAACGGCTGACCTGGGGTTCGTTGGATCCAAAGTGGTGAGTGAGCAGCAGGGCAAGCAGGTGAAGTGTGGAGATATTTCCCAGTGAGGTGGAAAGGAGCTGAGATCCAAGCGGTGAGCAGCAGTCGACACTGGAGAAAAGGTCATCAGGTAGTTGACGAACTGGCAGGGAGGAGATGACAGCGCAGAGCTTAAATCCCTCTTTGGCCTGATGGCCCCAATTAGCTCCAGATGCGTGAAGCTGAGGAAGTCCTGCCCACGGACGGAGCCAAGGGTGCTCTGGCACTGATGGAAAATCCCAGCTGCTCACCCAGACCATGACACTCGTGTTGTGCTTTTGTGGGGAGTTTTTCCAGCTCCTCATGATTTGTCAGCGCTCCTCACTCCGGATGTTCCTCCTACCTCTCTCTCCTCTCTGGCCCCAGCAGCTAGCTCCTCAGCGACTGCAGGACTGTGTACGCTCGCTGCATCTGCTCCACCCAGGTG